AACCTTGTGATCAGTTTGTCAATACCCACAGAAGAATTTGCTAGGACTTTGATTGGGATTGCATTGAATCTATAGATCAAGTTTGCAAGAACTTACATCTTGACAATATTGAGTCTTTCTACCCATGAACATGGAATAGCTCTCCATTTATTTTTAGTTCTTCTCTGATTTCTTTCATCAGAGTTTTGTAGTTTCTTTCATATAGATCTTATATATATTTTGTTAGATTTATACCTAAGTATTTTATTTTTGGGAAGTGCTAATGTAAATGATGTTGTGTTTTTAATTTCAAATTCCAATTATTCATTGCTAGTATATAGGAAAGTGAATGACTTTTGTACATTAACCTTGTATCCTGCAACCTTGCTATAATCACTTAGTTCTAGGAGTTATTTTGTCAATTCTTTCAGATTTTCTACATGGAAAATCATGCCATCTGTGAACAAAGACAGTTTTATTTCTTCCTTCCCAATCTGTATACCTCTTTTATTTTCTTTATTTGTCTTATTGCATTAACTAGTATTTCTAGTACAATGTTGAGAAGCAGTGGTGAGAGGGTACATCCTTACTTTGTTTCTGATCTTAATGGGGAAAGTTCAAGTTTCTCACCATTAAGTGTGATGTCATCTGTAGTTTTTTGTGGATATTCTTTTTCAAGTTGAGGAAGTTCCCCTCTATTCCTATTCCTAGCTTGCTAAGAGTTCTCATCATGAATTGGTGTTGGATTTTTTCAAATGCTTTTTCTGCATCTATTGATATGATCATATGATTTTTCTTTTTTAGCCTTTTGGTGTGATGGATTACATTAATTAATTTTTGAATGTTGAACCAACCTTGCATACTTGGGATAAATCCCGCTTGGTTGTGGTATGTAATTCTTTTTGTACATTGTTGGATTTGATTTGCTAATATTTTATTGAAGATTTTTGCATCTGTGTTCGTGAGAGACATTGGCCTGTATTTTTTTGTAATGTAGTTGTCTGGTTTTGGTTTTAAGGTAACAGTGACTTCATAGAATGAATTAAGAAATACTATCTCTGCTTTTAAGTTTTTAAGTATGATGAAATAAAATTTATATATTTTTTCCTTTTTTGCTTGTGCTCATTTGCTTTTCAAATGGAACACAGGACTCATAAAGCATTCCCATTAAGCACAACCTGTAATAAAACTTTATATCTCAATTCCTTGTTATGGCACTTTAAAGGGTGGAATTGCCATGGGGGAAAGGGAGAAAGTGAGGGCCACTTTTTACTTGGACTTTAGACTTCAAAGTATAATTGAATGTTAGCCACTGACTCTCGAGGATTGAGCACCTAATAGACAAAGATAACTAACTGTTTGGGAACTCCTCTAATTCTTAAACCCTTAGTAGCTCTCCTCTGAAAGGGACGAAGCCACAGCTACCAATAAGAAGCTACTCTCTGGGCTGTAGCCATCTTACCTTAGGGGTGAGTGAAAGTGAGGATGAAGCGTCAGAATGAGCAGGAGCATTGGAATCAGACTATTGGGAGTCCTAGCTGGGTTCTCTGGGAACCAGATGCTGAAACAGAGTTAGGTGTGAAAAGGGGAGCAACACCTGTGAAAGGAAAAGGCAGGAAGCAGGATTGGCCAGGAGGAGGTCTCGGCTCATGACACAGACCTGACAAAGCCTCTGCTAGTCCGATGGGGTGCTCTGGGGCAAAATTGCTTGTTAGAGGTATTCCATGTTGGTGGAAAAGGGCTAGGCCCAAGGACCACCGTCTTGCTCAACCACTGGCTGGGGATCACCCCTGAGAACAGCATGACTGTGGTTCAAAAGCAGACAGGTCCCTGGAACTGATTGCTGGGGGCAACTAGAACCGACACTCTTGGCAGCAGGGCAGCAAGTCCTTTATTGAAGGGGCAATGCAAGCAGTAAATCTCCATGTATCCCATACAGACATACTGAGATTCAAATCCCAGCAACATGTGACCTTATGCAACCACTCTGACTCAGTTTCCTCATCTGTAAAATGGAGAGAATGCCTTCCTTACAGGGTTGTGGGAGGATTAAATAAGATGAGGATGAACATAGTGCCTGATACAGTCGATAGTGCCTGATATCATATAGGCATTCAATAGTGTTCCTCCCTTTCACCCGGATGGAAATTAGCTGAGGTAACATCCTGTGCCATGAACCAGTTCCCACCCTGCCTTTTATAAACTTCATTTCTTCTCACTTTCCACTAGAGGACAAGCCCCTGTGGCAGCTTCCTGACCCTCTGGATCAACTGCCTCTGTGCCCCAGGGCTTGTGGTGTCCCCTGACTTGTTCCTCTCCTGCCTTTCTCAGCCTGGAAAATCAAAGATGTCTGAGGTTCTTGGCCCTTCTAGGCCCAGACCACTGGATGACGTTAGTATGAGGTGGGGGTAATGCTTCCTGGAATATACCAGAAGTAAGCAAATTGCACCATCTCTTTCAGCTGCCTGTGAGTGCATTCCATTGAGGATTCCTGTAAGAAGAAACCGTCGTGTTCCTCTTTCTAAGTGCCTCATTAAAAGCCTGAGGACAGATTCCCCTCCTTCACTTATGATCTCTACCCTGGGAGGGGAGACAGCGCCTGAATGGGAAAGAGCAGGACGTGTTCTGTGTGAGTCCTTGTCCTTCGTCAGGGTTCTCTGACCATAGGGACACAGGTCTCCAAGGTCCAGTTACTTCCTGTGTGCATGTAGTTGAGCCCGATTTACTGGAGAGTCTCAACTTGTTGGAAGTATAAACACAAAACAGTTTTATTTCTTCCAGTAACTGCCCCCGGCTATACCATGCCAGATTTCTCTTTCCTGCTGGGGAGCAGCTCCCTTAACGACCTCTTGGTCTGGTTCCATAACTTTCCGGTCTCTTTCGGTTACTATAACAGTCTCGTTCCGGTAATTAAGACCCAATCTTTTACATTTTTAAAACTTTCGTTGCAAACTTGATTAAAAACTCTTCCCCTCCCTCCCCTCCAGCATAAGCTAGAGCTGGCCCTGGCAGTTGGGGGGCAGTGGGAGGGAAGTTGGAACTGGCTTGAAGACACCTCATCTCGCTCCTCTTTGAGGGCTTGGCATCCCTGTTTGAGGCTGGGAGGAGGGATGGGGAGTAAGGGCCTCTTTATACGACTTTTTAGGACAGGGGACGTATCTCCTGTCCTTTGCCCCTTCCAGGTTCTTTCAGGTTCTGTTAGATGCTGGAGATTTCACCCAGCCCTTCTCCATCACTGAGGACCGCCCTTTCCTCCTCCCTCCACGCCCCAGCTGCACCTCCCCTTGGCCTCACCAGTGGTACAGGCTCCCAACCACCCCATTCTCTGGCTTGGGTATCCAGCTCTTAATTAAGCAGCAACCTGGGCAAATCTTTGGCTCCTGAGCTTGAGCTAACTTCTGTGCATCTTCAGGTGGAGCCACAGGTCCTGCTGGGATGATTGCGGCCTTCAAGGGCCACACAGACCTGGGATGGGAGAGCTGCCCCTAAGTTCATCCCAGTCACGCTGCACCAAGTTACTTCAAGCCCTGCTGGGTAGGCTGCTGCCGTGGGCCTCCTGCTTTCAGAAGCTCCAGGCCTGAAGTGAGAACCAGTCTTTACATTTCAGTATAATCCTAGACCTCAGGGTACGAACGTCAAGCACTCTGCTTTTCTTGCCCATAGTGGGGGAGTGGGACAAAAGGGCACTGGGCTGCAGTCCCAGGCTCCTGGGGTCGAAGGACTCTGACCTGTGCCTATGAGGCATTGTGGGGCCGCCCGTGCATCCTCTTTCCCTTCGCCTGGGGACAGGAAAGCATCCCCATCTCTTCGTGACGGGGGAGAGGAAGGTCTAGCTTCTCCCCACAGGCCTCCCGACTCTTTTGGTGCCTCTCAGTCCTTTTGCTATCCTGACTGGAGGAGGGCTGGGCTCTGGTTGACTTGAGGGGTTCTGGTGGCTCCGTCAGCCCTGTGTGGAGGTGGCTGGCTCCATCTGCTGGCAGCTCGCTAGTAGCTCTCGGCGGGTGGGGGGTTACTTGGCTCCGCTTGTCCTCATCTTTAGGCCTTGGCTGCAATTCTAGCATAATGGGAAAATGCATGAGGATTTGCCCAGCAGTGTATGGGAATATCCTGTCTCCTGTCTCTTCTCCTTTAAACTGTGTTGAAGTTGCTCTTCCTCCTGGAAGGATTCCTCGGTTAAATGCCGTCAGACGGACATTCTCCTGTCCCCTGCACTCCCTCAGCCCTCAGGCTCTCAGGTGGTAGTGAGTTCATATGCATGTGAGTGAATGGGTTGTTATCTGTGTCTTGACTAGTTTTTACGTGTTATAAAGATAGCTAGTTTTTATGAAACTCTTGCCACATGCCATCTATTGTCCTAAGCACGGTCACGTCCTTCATCTCATTCATTCCTCACACCACAATCCAAGGAGCTCGGTGCTATTATGTTGCCCATTTTACAGATGAGAAAACTAAACAGAGATAAAAACCTCAAATAGCTTCTCCAGGGTTTATAGCCCAAAAGTGATATAAACAGGCAATCTAAATCCCGAGCTCAGACCCTCTACGAATATTCTGTCCAGCCTACTTGGTTTTATACTGTGATGCCCTCCTCCCACCCCTCCCTCACCTCTGAAGCTCTAATTAAGAACCAGTAGATCAGTGTGAAGTACTCCCCGTGATAATTTTTATTTGGATTAACAGAATCTGCCAAGCTGGGTCTTGTCCAAGAACTGAAGTAGCCATGGTGGGACGGTGGTCAACTTGTAAATGGGCCAAACTATGTTGAAGTCATCAGCACAGACCCTTGGACAGAAGGCTCGTGATGATCCCTCACCCAATTTCTTCTCTAACGTTTTTAGGTTAATTTTTTCCCAGGGAGGCCTAGAGTCCTCACTACAATCTCCAAGAGTCCACCCGAGCAATTCTTTTCATCTGAAAAATGAGAATCTCTAGTTTTTGTATAGTACATTTACTTTCATGGTCTCCTAGATATTTGTAACCACTCTGAGTAGAAGAGTGTTATTATCATTCTCATTTTATAGGGGAAGAAACTGAGGCATGGAGAATGGAGACTTGCCTGAGGTTGCACAGGTTAGGTGTGCTGGAACTGGGACCTGGAAGCAATCTTTGACCTCTGCTCTCTCACGTGGTAGGTTCACCCTCAACGCCCTATACTTGAAACCACCGGGCTCCTGCTCCCTCACTGTGGGCTGCTCTTCTTCACTTTTGGCCATGTCCGTGCCCCTTCTCCTGTCTCTTCTTCTAGCCTCCTGTCTCTGGCCTCACCCACATCCTCCCTGCCTCTCCCAGGGCCTGGATGGGCCTCTCAGGGTAGGCGGCCTGGGTCTTGAAGACTTCCAACTGTGACCCAAGGCTCTGGAGGGGCTGCTCACTGCCTTTATTGGTGCTAGTCAACGCGGATGTTATTTATTGTCAAATAAACGTATTTCCAAATAAAACAGAAAACAAGCAAATAACTGTGGTGACAGAGCTGTAAAAAACCCTGCCATCTCGCTCACTTGAAGAAAAGCATGCGCAACTAATTAACCCGGGCAGGCCTCCGTGGTGTTTGGAAACAAGCTTGGAATTAATACCGCCCTTCTCAGTAGCTGGAGCCAGCCTCTAAATCTTGATTGGGCAGCAGCAAGAGAGAGACACAGAGAGTTATAGAGACAGTGAGCCACCAAGATGGAAGAAGACAGAAAGACAGAGCAAGATAAATACAGTTATCCATCTGCCTCCATACCCAGATATATCATCTTCACTGGACTCTAGATTCTAGAAAGACAGACAGACAGAGTGAGAGGTAAGAGGAGGAAATTGAGTCTTTGTTTAGCTCAGAGGACATCTTCTGTCTAACACCACTAAAGTCAGAGAATCACGGGCTTCTGGACTGGAAGGGGTTTATGAGAGGTCATCAAATTCAGCGGTTTTAAAGTTATTTTTAGCAGCAAATCCCCTTCTTGAAGTGAAATCACACACAGCAGTGTAATGCGTAAAGCAGATAAAAGTGCAGCGCTCCCGTTGGAGCTTGTTCCTCCTCGCAGCCCCTCCCTGCTTCCCTTCAATGGGCAGGGGGTGTCCTCAAGATGCTCAGGGCTGGGGACGGCACAGTTGGAAAACTACAGCTGCCTGGCCTCTGTGTGGCAGGGCTTTGGGAGTGTCCCTTGTTTTTCAGTGGATTCAGGCTGAGCCTAATTTGGAGTCACCAGGAGGGGGAGCGTGGTAGAGAGGACCCACCAGCTGGTGAAGGAGGTGGGCTACCTGGGGGAACACCTGCTCTCTTGCCCCTGAACCTATTGGGTTCTTGAACTCCGATGTTTACTTTCCCTGGTGACCTTTGTTGGCAGGAGTTGGGAAACAGGCTTGTTGACCTTCAATGATGGAGTCTCAGTGGATGAGCTTTATGAGTCATCACTTCATTCCAGCTTTGCCTCAAGGAGGCTTTGTATAGCTTCATGTCAAGTTCAGGAGGGGGCACCCAGAGCACGAGGAGGATACCTCCCTTCTGTGGAAGAATATGGACTGTTGCTGGAAGGGGACTTCCCTATAGGCCATCCCAGTATGCCCTGTTGGGATGACTGGTGATCTACAGGGAAATCATGCTCTGTATATTTCTTTCTTCTTGTAGAGGAAGGAGAGGCAGTGCCTGAGGCTGGAAACCATCCAGTCCAGTGGCACCATGGGGATTTGTCTGGTCTTCTCTGGGGAGGTTGTCACTTGCTTCTGGAGGCCCTGTTCTTAGCAGAGTCCCGAGTTTGGGTGGAAAGACCTCTCTGGAAAGCAGTGGTGAGTACAGGAGAAGGGTGGAGAGAGCGATACCAGGCACTGTGTTTGGAGCCTTCCCGTCTCCGATTAACCCTGAGTGCCCTTGGCTCAGGCCTAGACAACAAGGGGCGCGGTAAGGAGGAGAAAACACAAATCAAGAAGTACTGCTTTTTTTGAAAGAGAAATTATAAATTGCAATTTAATCACATAATCACTTTGACACTCTCAAGCAAGCTAATTTCTTCCCTTGCCTCATTTCATCTACTTGGTGAGATGAATCTTAATGAATAATGTCCTATGAATATTTAATTTTTGATCAATTTGAATTTTCTCTGGCATACCTGCTAGAGACATAAATCAGCTCCTCTTCTACCCAGCAGAGTGAGTTTGGACAGCGGCTTTTGTGGATCTGTGCCTATGGCCACAGAAGTGGCCTGCCTGAAGGTTTTTGGGTTCTGGTTTGCCACTCTCTTAATATCATTACTCACACCTCCCTGGACACCTTCTCTAAGCTGCGTTCTCTCATACTGCCCCACCAGCAGGTGCCTGAAGCCAATGGCTGCCCAGGTGGGTGAGATGCATCTGAAAATGACTTTCTGTAGGTCCTCCCTCTTGCTCCATCCTTTTTCTTCAATCACTTAAAGATGTCTCCCTCCTGATACTATCTTTCCTGGCCCCTGAGGACAGATGTTATTATTTAGAAGACAAGTATCTAATAAGCAACATTGGGAGAAGTACCATTTTCAACTGTTGGAGAAGGATTTTTTTGAGGAGATAATATTTGATACTTAGACAGTGTTGTACAGTTTGCAAAGTGGTTTCACATACCTCGTTTATTTTCATGTCTTAAAACATCCCTTTGTTTGATCTCTCTTTCCTGACTCTGATGTGAGGGAATGGGGCTGGAGAGAGCTCTTTCTTACTCTGGGTCAAGAGGGTAAGTATAGGAATTTCCACCCTGGAAGGACTGCCAAGCTCAAAAACATGGAAATGGGTCCAAACAGAGCCACCTATAAAGAGGGAAGATTGAGTGGGACTGGGACCTGGAGGAAGAAAGAGGAGTATCCTTAATAGGTAAGCTGGAATTGGGCCCAATAATGACAGTGATGGCACTTTTTTAGAAAATATTTTAATTGCGAAGGGGATAGATAACATGTTTAAAATGTAGTTTGAATGTATATCCATATCCTTATATTTTGTTTTCCTGGAGCTCTCCACCCATGAAAACAATGAGTTTTAGTGCTTCAGGAAGGGCAGGAACCATCTAGAACAGAAAAGTCATTGTTTAACTTTAAATCTCAAGGGCGACTTCCTGTTTTTGAGTTCATCGGGATAAAACAGTCTTGAGAGTAAGACTTTATATAGAAAGAAAAGAAATTTCTAAATTTGCTACCCTCCCAATAGTTGATCATAGAATTTCCTCATAAATAACAGAGTAGAGATAATTCAGCCTGAGGTGTGACGGAACTCACTTGGGAAGCTCACCCCTTGTCACAGAGGAAGAAGGGGAAGATGGAGGAAGGACAATAGAGTCAGAATCCAGTGTCCTCATTTTCCACTCCCTTGGACCAAAACACTGGTCACTGTAGCAGCGTTTGATGGTATGAAGGAACTCGAGAACATGAGATTTAATATCTCCAGCCTTATATTCCCCTCAACGTGGCACAGGAGTTAAAGTGAAGGGAGGTGGGTATTAGATGAGACTGAAGCAGTTCTTCTGTTCTCCATGGCCTGGGTGCATTGTGCAGTAGAACTTAGAAGTTCTTATTTGTTGTGATTGAGATGCTAAGAAAGCTGAACAGAGGACTGGGGTTCAAACAAAAAGTTCATACAGCAGGGGATTTTGCAACTGGAGAAAAAGGACCAGAATTGTGGTCTTCAGTTGTGGGTGTTAGTGTGTCATCCTGACAAGTCAGCCAGGATCAGTTGTGGACAAGTGTAGGAACCAGACTAGATGAGTAACCCAGTGGCAGAGGTCAGTTTTAACCAGAGATTAGTTCTTCTCTTTAATTACTGCGAGTTCAAGTGAAGTCCACCATCTACCTAGCTACCATGAAGGAAGAGTCAGGGTGGTGGTGGAGTGTTGGAGGAGGAAATCTGGAAGACTTAACACTTACTCTGAAGAGACTGAGCCACCCAAAGAGATGTTTCTCTCAATACCGGTAATTTCTGGGATTAATTCCTTGTCTTAACCCAAGTTTCTAGAACACACAACTTGAGACAAAGCTTATATGCTAAAGCTTCACTGAATAGTGCAGTGCCAGGGTAGCAAGAATAAGTGAAAAAGGGAAAGTGAGGCAAAGAGAGAGAGAAGGCTTTACTGAGCTAGCCACAGCTTGACAAGAAAACCCATTTGGTTGTTTAGACACGTGGGACTTCTTCCAGATGGGCCAGGAGAAACCATCACACTTCAGACTAGTCTGTGGATAGTTTGAATTGATTTACTGTTTTTAACTCTTTCCTGTCTTTCAATGGTCAATATTTGCTTCTACTGTGCTATGACGTTGTGTCACCTGATTCTTCTGGGAAGATTCTGAGGAAGTAGGAGATCCCATGTCTTTGCTGTGGCCCTTCGTAGTAGTTTGAAAATATGTCCAAAAATGCTTTCTTACTCTCTTCAAGAGGTAGAGCCTAATTCCCCTCCATTTGAGCATGGGCTGGACTTAGCAACTTGCTTCCAACAAATAAAGTGAAAATGACAGTGTGTGATTTCAGAGATTAGGTCATAAGAGGCATTATGTCTTCCTCCTTGCTCTTAAATTGCTTGCTCTGGGAGAAGCCAGCTTCCATGTTGTGAGGGTACTCAAGTAGCCCATGAAGAGGCCTACATGGTGAGGATCTAAAGCCTCCCACCAACAGCCATGAAAGTGAGCCGTCCAAAGTAGATCTCTAATTTTCAACTTGACTGAAGTGCAGTCAAGCCTGCAGTGACTGCAATTCCTTTCAACATCTTAACTGCCATCTCATGAGAGACCCTTGGCTAGAAGCACCCAACTAAGCCACTCCCAGATTCTTGACCCACAGAAACTGTGCGATAATAAATGTTTGTTGCTTTAAGCCCTAAGTTTTGGAGTAATTTGTAACAAAGCAGTAAGTAAAAATATACCCTTTATCTGAGTCTGGAAATGAGAGAAACCAGAAACTTGATGGGTCCTAGTGAGTCAGACCTGGGCACCAGAGCTGCTGTGGCTCCTGCCATGGCAGGTACAATGGAATATATGCTGAAGCCCTCACTTTAGAGAAGGCTGAGATAGCTAGCAGTGTTAGGAGATGAGGCAATGATGGCAGTGGCTGGGACTGCCCATTGAGCTTGTGGTGAAGGCGAAAGGCAAGCAGGGCCAAGCAAATCTGGGGAGACCCATATCCTGGGTCTGGTCCATTAGACTCCTATTCTCTAGTCCTATAATTCCCACTACGACAGAGTCTCCATAAGCACAATTAAACACGTTACAGAGAAATAAAGAAGCCACAGACGTTTTGCACATCTTCATAATAGTGTGATTAGAATCGAGACAACTGTTTTTGTTAAAATAATAAATTCCCATTGCAAAAAAAATCAAAGCAATGTAGAAAAGCACAAAAAACAAAGCAAACATCACCCAATAATCCATGATCCAGAGAGAACACTGTTATATAACATAAGTTTTTACACTCAACCCTTATGTTGACATTTTCCCTTGCCAATAAATATAATTACACTTTTCATCAAATATAGTGGACTAGACTCTCCATAAAACTTCTCCAGGGACAGTATGCCTCCAAATGATGGAATATTTAAATATACTCCCTCCTCCTTTAAAAAATGCATGACTGCATAGCTGAATTGGCACAAAATAAAGGGAATTTCTTAAAGACAAAAAACAACAAGAAAACATTAATCTAAAAGAATGAGCGAGCTGTGGAGCTTGTCTTTGTCTTGGAGCCTGTTTGGAGTTTAATAGGTGATATGAGCCATAACATGACAGGTGGGAGATACAGCCCAGGGCCCAAGCAGATTGGATTCTCACACAAAGCTGGGAACCCTGAAGGGTGAAACTCTCAGTAGGTGAACTAGAAAAAACACACTCCACAGAGGGGAAAGTTGGTGAAGATACTTGCTTGTCATCCTTGACTTCTGATAGAATAGGAAAAAAAGAAAAATGTTTTCTTGGAGAATTCCTAATCTTAAACATGAATTTACCACAAATCCCGTTCTAAAAATTTGAAGTGTCCTGGATTGGTAAGATACTCTAGGCTTGAAAAACAAAATGAAACAAATCCTCTCAGAAAAAGCATACTTTAAACCTTGGCCTCTGAGAATTTCCACAGATAAAATTCCACGGGATGTGGACTTCACAATCAAAATCCAAAAAACATATGAGGAAATAAATTACCCTGAATAAGACTCAGTATAAACAACAAATTCCTCACAAGCTATAATGACCTGTACTTATACAATATGGAATATAAAATAAATATATTTAATTTGTTTATGAAATAAAAGAGAGTAGTGGAAGCATAATGAGGGAACAAAAGACTATCAGAATAACCAAGTCAGATGTAAGAGAGAAACAAATGCAACTTTTAGAAAATAAAAAAATATAATCATTGAAATGAACAACTCAATGGATATGATAAATTAGATGCAGCTGAAGAGAGAATTAGCGATTGGGAAGTTTCTCTGTGAATGACCTAGAATACAATAGAAAGACAAAAGATGAAAGAGGAGATATAAAGAACAGAATGAGGAGATACAATATAATTGGAACGTCAAAGGATAACAGAGAGAATGAGAGAGAAGTGTTAAAAAAATAATGATTGAAAAATTTCCAGTCCTGATGAAAGACACCAGTCCTCAGCTTTAACAAGTCCAATGAATCCAAAATAAGATAAATTAAAAGAAACCCACGTTTTTTAGAAAAACAGGAGAACATTAAAGACAAACAGAGGATTCTAAAAGTAGTCAGAGAGAAAAGATAGATCACCTACAAAGCAATGAGAATTCCACCCACAGCTTATTTCTCAATAACAATAGCAGAAGCCAGAAGACTATAGAATGACAGCTTTGAAGCGCTAAGTGGAAATATTATGCTGGACTTCTACCCCCACTAAAATTATCTCTTAAACATGAGGGCAAAATAAAGACAATTTTAAAATATTTTAAAAACAAAATTGATACAAGTGACTACCAAGAGACACTTACTAAAGGACTTATACAGTATAAACCAGGAAGAAGAAAAATGATCCCAGAAGGAGATATGAAGTATAAGAATGAGAGATGAAGGAAGAAAATGGCAAATGTATAAATAAATATTGATTGTATAAAATAATAATAATAAACTAACTTGTGGGGTTATAAATCAAGTTACAACTAAAATCATGGACAAAAGTATACAAATTGATCATATTTCAATATAGATCAAGAATAGGAAAAATGAAACTTTTCTTTTTTTGAGAGACACATAGATGTGTGATAAAACAATAAAGGAAAGGAAGGGAATAATTAGCACAACACTTAGGGTCGTGGGTTACTGGAGTGGGGAGGAGGGAGGTGGATGGGATGGAATAGTGTATGTGGAGGCTTTGAAGGTATGAATATACTACTTCTTAATATAGGTGTTGGATATTTGTCTGTGTATTCCTCATTGTGACAATTCTTTAGTATGTAAATATTTATTAAACATACTTTTTGTATATATGGTATAATAAAAATGGAATAATTATAAAGTGACATTGTGATGATCATTATTATAACCTGTAGCTTTTCACACGCCTTAAGGTAAATTCCTAGAAAGAAGATTTTGAGGAAAAGGGTGAATACAATAAGTTTTCTTTGAAACTTATTGCCCATCCCCTCCCCCAAAGGGTGCACCAACGTCTACTTCTACCAGAAGTGCATACAAAGCCCATTTCCCCACACCCTAGGGTCACTCCTTTCTGTGCACTTTTTCTAAAATGTACTCATTATGTACGTCAGCGTGGTGAGCTTGGCTCATTCAAAGAGATTGGAACGGGATGAACAATTCATGAAGTAGGTGATATAATTAATCTCATTTTACAGATAACACAACTGAGAATCCCTGAGGCTGAGTGACTTGTTCAGGGTCACATCATGACCCAGTCTCCTAACTGCGTCTTCAGTTCAGCGATCTTTTTGCTATGTCCCACTGCTGGCCAAACTCCATTGAAACTTTGTGTTGGAGCAGTCTCTTGCTGCACATAAAAATCTTTCCTAGTCCAGTCAAGCCAGAAAAGAAGACAGAAAGAAGGCGTGCTTTGTAGGGTGCTGGTGGAGGTGGTGGAGTAGGAGTGGGGGAGAAAGGTTTTCAGCATTTATATCCTCAAATCTGAGGACCACTCCCTTCCTTGGTCCTTGTTGCTTAAGCCCCTGATTATAAACTTTGGAGACGGAGGGTTGGAGCCCTATTTAATCAGCCCAGTCCTGACACAAGGAAAGTGCTCACTAAATATTTGCTTCCTCTTAAATAAACTCTGGTTGATATTTTTGTCACCAAATATGGAGAGAGAGCCGTCCCCTTGGCTGGGCCAGATTTCTTTCTCTGCATGAAGTGAGTCTGGGCCAGGGCGAGTGAAGGGACGAATTGACCTTCCAAGGTCCCTTCCTGCTGAAAGACAAGGATTGTCAGCAGGCAGAGCTGCAATGAGCAGCCCCACCGCAGGCTCCCTCTGAGGTGCGTTGGCTTTCTCTTCTCCAAGTGATTAGCGGGGAGATTGGCGGCAGTAGCGGCAATGGAAGTTTAATGTTCTGGAAACCCCGTCTTTTTCCTCTTTCTGCGAAGTTTTCCCTGGTGAGCCAAGGAAAGGTCTTGCAACTTAACAGGCAGACAGGGATGGGGCCCAGGAGTTTTGCCATCAGAGACTAGAATTTATCACTGTGACACCAAGCCCAGGCATGGCTGCATTTGTCAGGGAGAAGGGGCAGGTTGGGGGGAGGGAACTGCTACCCTTCCCCGGGGACATTATCCCTATCAGGGCACTGAGACCCTGCCACGACCCTAAGATATGACTAACTATCCATCCCTTGGGCCCACTCAGCCCAGTGCAGGCCAGGATACGTTTTGCTCACAGCCTCTGGCCATTGCAAATGGAATCAATTGGTCCTGCTGCTCTAAGCTGGTACCCAACATCATCTGGTGGGTTCCAAGTCCTTGTGCCTGTCAAAAACAGAGGACTTGGGGTAACTGGAAGAGCTGACAGACCTGTGTTAGTGTCTCCTACTAGCTGTTTGATACTGGAGAAGCTACTCTATTCTTTTGAGCCTATTTTCTTCCTCTAAAAATAGGGGCAATAGTAACTACCTTTAAAATTAAATTAAAGGTGTATATACCTGTCTAGCACCCTTTCTGCCACCTAGAGAGGCAGAGGAGTGAGGTGGTAAAGACCACACCTCTGGAACCAGATTTCCTGGGTTCTGACTCTGACCACTCTGGCTGTGGGAACCTGGGCAGGTAATTTAGCCTCTCCGTATATTGGTTGCTCACCTGTAAGATGGGCATAATAATACATACATACCTTAGAAGATTGAAGTGATGATTAAATGAGCTAACATTTATAAAATATTTAAAACCATGCCTGATACATAGTGAGTGCTATACGAATTGTTTATTTTGATCATCTTCTTACCTACCCTCTTTTTCCCTCCCTTCCTTCCCTCTTGTCCCTATCTGTTTGCTGGGCTATAAGATCTTATTTGGCTCTTGGTTTCCTGATTTGTAATCAGTGCTTCTTGGGGTTACTCTTGTTGTCTGGGGCCCCAGCTCTTAACTCAGTTTCACTGTGTCCTTCCCCTTGGGATTGGAGACTGCCTCCAGAAGCCCTGCCTAGATGGATCTGGTCTAGGTGGATGCTTCTAGAACACCACTGACATCTTTATGATTCTAATCACTGCGTTTTCCCAAAGACCTCTGCTGCCTACCATGCCTCCCTCAGGGCTCCAGTGCTGCCCTCTCAGTCCCATGCCTTCCTGGTTTCCTCTTGTTCTTTTTTAGCTGGTGCTGTCAGGGTCCCAGTAGGCCCCAAGGCTAAGTCCATCTGAGGGACAATAGTGTCTCCCTGGGTTGGCCTTCATCTCTGGTGGGCCTTATGTAGGCAAAGGCCCAGAGCTTCCTGGCTTTTAGTCCAACATTCCATCCAGATACTTCTCATTGCCAAGTATGAGAATCCTTTCTGGGGACCTCATGTTTTTGTAAGGCAGCCCATCTCATTGTTGAATAGCTCTAATGAATAACAGCAGCAACAACAACAATAATAGTATCAGCTATCATTTATTGAGTGCTTACTGTATGTCGGGTTACCATACACATATCGTCTCTGATTTTTACAGCAACCCTCTAAAATAGGTTTTATTATCTCCATTTTACAGATGTGGAAAATGAGGCCTGGAGAGGATAAGTGATTTGCCTAAGAGGTACAGCCAGAGGTAAGCTCTGTTTGCTTACATCCAAAGTCAGCGTTCTGCCATCTGCATTGAAGTGCCATAATGGCCCGAGTCTGCCTCCCTGTCCCCTCCATCACTGGAGGAGGCAATACACAATCTGTCTTCCCTTTTCTACATGTTTGCCTTAAGTAAATTTGAGAAAGCTGTCATGTCACTTTTAAGTTTTGTCTTCTTCAGGCTAAGTATCCTCAACTATTTGTTAAATCATATGACATTGTTTCCGGGCATCTCAACATCTTGGCCTCCCTCTTCTGGACATGCTTGTTGGTTAATGTCTTCATGATGTATTGTATTCTGTACCCTAGATTCAGAACTTGAGGCATTAAGAACCTCTCTTGGCAGTGTACTGTCATGGTTTAAGAGCACAGGCTTTGCAGTTAGACTGATCTGGGTTCAAATACTGGCTATACCCAATTTGCTAGCTGTGTGATTGCAGCAGATTGCAATTTCCAAAGATGGGTGCCACAATATACCTCATCCCATTTGTTCTCCTTGCAATGTGACAACGTTCTTTGTATGAAGTGCTGGGGTCTGTGTTCCTTCCTGTTGATCCTGGGCAGGCCTTTGTGACTGCCATGACCAATGAAAGGTGGCAGAAGTGATGCTCTGTGACTTCCAAGGCTAGATCATAAAAATGCCATGCACTTCCACCTTATTCTCTTTGGAATTCAGTCATATTTTGTGAAGAAGACCAAATTGACCCAAGTGGAAAGCCCATATCGAGAGGCTACGTGTATGTGTTGAAGTCCTAGCCTATAGCCACTGTCAACCACTGGATATGTACTTGTAGCGAGGAAGTCTTTGAGACTTTGAGCCACCGTCTGACTGTAACCTCATGAGTGACCTCAAGTAAGAATCACCCAGCTGAGCCAAGTCAATCCCCAGAATAAAATTGTTGTTTTAAGACACTAAGTTTAGGGGTTACTTATTATGCAGCAATAATCAGAATGGTGATCTTAAGCTTTTCTCAAGCTCACTGAGCCTCAGTTTCTTTGTCTATGGAATGAAGACTGTGGAATCTACCTTAGAGGATTATTATGAGAATTAGAAGACAATGGATATAAACTACTCAACATGTGTTTGCCACATAATGATTGTACAACAAATAATTAATTATAATTAATGACATCATGAATAAAATAAGAAGGGGACCTCGGTTGAGACTTCAGAAGGAAGATTGGGAAACCGAACTTGCTGTGGGGCAACCTCCGGGGACGAAGCTGAGAGCTGGGCCACAGGTTCCAGATGCGCAGGGGTTGTGACAAGATTCAGGCAGCATCCAGCACGAGGAAGACGGTGCAGTGTGGGGAGGCCTTTGCTGCTTGCTAAGTGTGAGACAGCAACACTGAGACTGGAGGTGAGAAGGCAAGACCTTGGTCACACTCGCTGCTGGTTGTTGGGAGGGTGTGGCCAGGACACAGAAACCTTTTGCTGTAAAATCAAGCAGAGCTGGGGATTGGCCACTGGGCTGCCCCACAGCAAACCTCAGACGTGAGAGGGGTTTGTGCGAGCATCCCAGATATTCGAGGTCACAGCTGGCAGAGTTAATAAAGCAACAAGCTGGGGCGCCAGGGAGGATGTGTGGTTAAATTCATGTGTGTGGTGTTTTCTTGTCCTTGGCCCCCCGCCTCAGAAGGCAAAGAGCTCAGGGTCTGAAAGGTACAGCCTGATGAAGCAAGTGTTTGAAAAGTGCAGGCAACCGTGAACTCAAGTCTTAAAAAGTAAAACTCACTCCCCCCTCCCAAAAAAACCTACCACAACAAAACCCCGTACTCCACCCTCACGTAATATGTATGCTCACTGTAGAAAAATTATACGATATAAGAAACAAAAAGAGCAAAATAAAAATTGCCCACGTTCCTACAACCCAGAGATAATCTCTGTTAACATTTTTGTGTACGTGGAGCTTTCCAGATGGTATACGAAAATAGAGCCATACTGTGCATACTGTTTGGTAAACTGCTCTTATCGCCTAATGATATGCCCTGGACATCTTTCTATGATATGAAATATGCATCTGCAGTTCTGAGCTTTTCAAATTGGGGACATGTAGCCATGTTCCAGGGCTTCTATGAAGCTGCAGGAGAACCATGGTTCATCACTCCAGAGCATCAACTTTACTCAGTGGTAAGTCACTTAAAATATCATTTTTATATTAAAACAAACCCAGACATAGTATGGTGGAGGGTACAAAATTTGCATGAATTTTTAGGAGAAGATATGAGACTTTAAAGAAATGTCTGGCTTGCCTTATTCTTTTGTACCATCATTTTAAACAGCAGGTAGCGTTAGCTCACAGGGATCAGTGGAACAGGCTGAGTGAGAGGAGGAGGGGGGAGAGATGTGACAATTAAGGGGCAATAGGTGCCAAGGGCCATTTCACGAGGCACAGAGTCCCTCACCCGAGGATCTGGAGAGCAACGTGGATGTCTTGATGTCATGCTTGGCCTTTAGGGCCCAGGCCTGAGTGAGTGGCTTAATTCTAAGTCATACTTCCCCTACCCTCCCCCTCCGACCTGTTGGCAAAGAGCAGTTGTAGGCTGGGGTGGCATTAGGTTAGGACAATGTGGCTGTACCAGACATGGCACTCGGAGCTAACCCAGTAACTCCAGAGGTGGACTGAATCGTGCATAGCTTTGCTATTTCTGTCCCAGCTCTGCTATTAAGAAGCTCTGTGACCACAGGCCACTTACTTACCTTCTCTTTGTTTCAGTTTTGTCATCAATAAACTAGTGATAAAAGTAGCAGCTCATAGGTTCATTGGGGCATTAAAAGAGTAAAGTACAATTCTTAGAGTGTCACTTGGGACATAGTAAGCATTTACTATATGTTAATTATTATTATTATGTAATCTATGATTGCATAAGCTGCTCATGGTAAATGTGTCCCACTCTTGTTTCAAACAGAGCTTATGGCTAATTGAAACTCTTAGATCTTTTTCATTGGAATTGTTATCAAGCTTATATTCTCCATGCTGTTATTAGTTTTTAATTGTGTGGCTTATTAATGCTCATTTTCTTAATTGTGGCCTATTATTCTAGCCTGTGTTAGTTATCTAACAACTAAGTCTTCCTTTCCAGAGTCACTCAGGTTTCATGTTCTAATGGCATTTACAATTTTATGTCCCTATTTTACAGAAGGAAAAACTGAGGGAAGGGAACTACTGCCTTCTGAGTGTGTCCTTTGTGCCAGACATTGGGATAGGTGCTTCGTATAAGGCATCTCAGCTAACCCTCAGAACAACTTAGAGATGCAGGATTTATTATGTCATTTTATAGATGTGGAAGCTGCAGCTCAGAGTACTTGAGCAAATTGCCCAAGGTTGCCCAGCTAGCTCAGCATTTTTCTCTTGCATCATACTACCTCCTAGTTTTAGGTCATCTGTAAACTAAAATGGCATGCTTCTATTCAAGTTGTTGTTTTACATGACAAAGCCAAAGACAGAGACAAATCACTGGAGAACCCCTTCTAGGTAGGTCTATGACTGTCACATCAATTCCTGAATCAATACTTTTTGTACAGGATCATTCAGGCACTGAAAATGGAATCAGATGCTGCTATTGGAAACTAAGGTCTGGAGCTTTGTAAGAGATCATAAAGAAACCCCCTTCCATCACATCTTTAAGGGAAGGACCCCTCGTCCCAGTTCTTTGCTTATTCCCTCTCAGCTGAAGTCTGGATGCTTATAGAGTCACATGTCCCGAATCAATCCCAGAAAATGTTCCTTTTCAAGCTGAGTGTGAGAAGCTTTACACAGCATCCTGGGAACTGTCAGCATCTGCCTATATTTACTCTTGCTGTTGATTAAAACTGAGAACTGGAGCACCAGGAGTCCAGACTGTAGGCACAGGACTGCTGATAAGAGGAGAAGGAATCAACAGCGGTTGCTGGACCAAAAGAAACCCAGCCCCTTCTTTCCCACAGTCACGACCCTAGGCTTGACCTAAGAGCAGTCAGGTCGGGAGAAGAGGAGGGGGATTTGTCTACTGTAAATTTCTTCCAGGATGGTCTCTGCCCCATTTTGGATGGAAAGAAGCAGTGGGGTAGGTGGTGGTGTGGAGGCTGTGCCAGTGGGCTCTGGGACTGTGCCCAGGGGCCTGTGGGCTGCAGCATTAATTGCACTTTTCTCTAGGGGAGAAGGAAATAGTGGTGGCCTAAACCCTGAACACTCCGATTGACTCTTGGATCTCCACTGATTAGAGAGAGCTTGAGAAGAATGAGAGAAAGGGGAGTCGGGAGAGGGTGTGTTTCATCTCTGTCCACGGAATGATGGTTCCATCTGAGCTTGTGGTCCCCAAACACCCCAGTTCCCATCCCTGTGGCTACACGGGGGCAGGTGTATACAGCAGGATGCTTGGACCTGGAATAAGCTTGATCTACGACTCCTCTGTTTGACCCTTCTGGAGGTGGGATGATTAGGATAGTAATCCTGTGTCTTCTGATATGTCCTTCACATAACTGCTCAAAATCCTCCCAGGTCCTCCATTCCACTTAGAATAAAATCCAAAGTGCTTCCTGTGGCCCCTGCGGCCCTGCATGCTCTGGCCTTTGCCTCCCTCTCCAGCCTCACCTCCTACCACATGCCCTACAGTAGCCTCCATGCTGTGCTTTGAACATGCCAAGCATGCTCCTGCTTCAGGGGCTTCATGCTTCCTGTTTCCTCTCTTTACAGTTGCTAGATTTAGTCAATAAACACACAGGATGTCCAGTTAACACTGAAGTTCAGATAAACAATGATTCATTTTTAGCGTAAGTATGGCCAGTGCAATATTTGTTTATCTGAATGTCAGATCTAACTGGGCATCCTGTACATTGCCTGGCAACCCTAAGAGCTCTCTGGACAATGTTCCCTCCGATTCTCACATGGCTCATCCCCTCACTTCTCCAAGTCTCTGCTCTCCTCACCTTGTCTTGCTGTTGCATCTACAATCACAGCCCCATGAATCTACTCTCGCAGGCTGCCTCGTCTCCTTCAGAGCTCTTATCACTATCTGATGTGCTATTGTTTGTTTATTCATTCATTTGTTGACTCTGTGTCTTCCCTGGCACATGTGAACTCCATAAGGGTGGGATTTAAGTCTTCACTGTGGTATCTTCTGTCTCTGGTGTCATTGTGGGTGCTCGTAAACATTTGCTGAGTGATCAAATGACATTTTACCATGGCTCACCCTTTGCGATATGGATCTCATCTTAGGCCACTCCCCTTTCCACGGGGCACTAGCCAGGCTGACCTCATGGTCGGTCCTCCAACATGCTAATCCCATTCCTGCCCCATGGCCTTGGGACTTGCTGCCTGGCATATGGCTTCTTCTCCTCTCCTCTTACATCTCAGAGAAGGCTTCCCTGACCTCTCTATCTATCTATCCTTTCTAACCCTCTGACCCTAGACCTTTCATTCACAAGACTATTTTATTTCCTTTAATACTCATATCGCTCTAGGAAATCACATATTTAATGACTGGTTGGCTTTTTCTTGTTTGTCTCCTACAGACAAGAATGTAAGTTCTGGAGACATCAACCATGTGTGACTTATACATCACTGTGTCCCCAGCACCTAGCCCCATGACTGGCATAGAATATGAAACCAAAAAATATATGTTGACTGAATGAGTGAGGCAGTGATTTTGGGGTGGGCACTGAGACCCAGCTTTGCAGGAGCATTGAGAACTGCAGTGAGGGAGAGGATTGAGCCCAGGAACCAGCCTGGAGTGGGTTCCACCAGGAAGCTGGCTTGCTCCTCGCCCCACAGTGACCAAGTGTACTTAATTAGCAGAGCTGATTACGGATGAGGGAGTCTGGAAAGGAATTCCTAGCTCTCTGCTTCTCTCGGCCTCCTTGGCAGCTAGGAGAGGCCATCTCCTTCCCACTGGAAAATGTCCCTTCAGGCCCAGAGAGTGAGAGTGCCTCCTCCATGTTTTGTGTCCCCATTTGTCACTTGCTGCAGATGATAAGACCCAAAGGGATGATGACACCCCAGTGACCTTGGAGGCTGCCATGTAAGCTGGCAGCCTGGCTCCCCAAACGATGATGGGGGACGTGAACATCCTCCTTGGGGTGTCACATGAGAAAGAAGCCAGCTTCTTGTGTTTTCAATCACTGAACTTTGGTGGTTTGTTACTAAAGTGGAACCTAGCTAATTAATATATGGCTGTATCCACTGTGTCTACTATATAGAAAGTGCTCAATAAATGTGTTGTTGAGCTCCCTGGGGAGGAAGATCTGTTTATTCCTGCAAATGAAACAGAATTGTATTAACTAAAGGGGACTAGCTGTGTTTTCTTATTTGCCCAGATAGTGCTCATGTCCTTCTTAACCCCCTAAGGTCATCAAACTCACTGTGCATGGGTCCCTCTCTCTGGGTTTAGCAAGGAACAAACATATAAAGCGGTGTCCTTTGAGGTACAAGCAAAGAGGAGTTGATGAGGGACCCCTACAGTCAGAGAGAGGCAGCTATAATGGTCTCCCGCTCTATCTATGTCACCAATAAGACACCCTGGGGGTAGATGCCACAGTATGATTGGCTGCATCTATAAAAGATTCCTGTGACGAATTTCCAGGGATTCTTTTGATGGAAATTCATCTTAGCAGGTTGGTGCTAGATCTTCCTGGATCAACTGCTTTTTTTGACATACCTCCACTCTCAGTCTGGTTCCCCGGCTCCTTTGTTCAATGACCCTTGGAATTTCTATAGCCTGAGGCTTAGTAGCACACTCTTAATTCAGTTCCTTTTAAGAGTTTTTGCATGAAGCTTGACAATTTTCTTCATGCAGAGTCTTCATCTGCCCTTACAGTGGACCTTGATCTTGCTTTCACAGCTGCCACTACACTTGGGCACTGACAAATCTCTCTGTGGTTCAATCAAGAAAGATTGGATTTTTTTTTTTTTTTTTAAGATTTTTTTTATTTTTTCCTTTTTCTCCCCAAAGCCCCCCGGTACATAGTTGTGTATTCTTCGTTGTGGGTTCCTCTAGTTGTGGCATGTGGGACGCTGCCTCAGCGTGGTCTGACGAGCAGTGCCATGTCCGCGCCCAGGATTCGAACCGACGAAACACTGGGCCGCCTGCAGCGGAGCGCGCGAACGTAACCACTTGGCCACGGGGTCAGCCCCAAAGATTGGATGTTTTTAAAAGAAATTTTACGCTGAAACTAAGGAAACAAGAAAAATTTAAGAACACAGACCTTAACAAATTTAGAGAGCATTGGTTTCTTGGTGGGCATAACTTACAGTCTCCTAGTTCGTAGGAAAATCGCTTGACAAATGTTTATTGGGCTCCACTGGGCACAGGGTATTCAAAGATGAATAGTGGGCAGGCTTTGACCTCAAAGAACTCCCAGTGTATACAAAGAACCGAAGAAACAAGTGGGAAAATGTTTTACAATATAATGTGATAAATGCGATAATGGAGGCACGTAGCAGGTGGGATTTTTCAACACATTTAAGAAGGTCCCAAATTCCTTCCTCTACTAGGTGCTGTCTGAAGAGCTGTGTCCCAGAGTCTCCCCTTTCAGTTTTGGGCACCACATTTCTCTTGTTTCCTAGTTTGCCACCCACTGCAGGGGAGGAAAGATTGCAGAAGGAATTATGTTCTCCTGTACCGATGGCAGCCTCACACACTGGATTTTAGGGGCAGTCTACATTTATGTATTATCTTTTTAAATAAATAAGATTCAATAAATGCAAAACTTCATGTGATTTCATTTGCATACCTTTATAGGGCTTTGCATATAAACAAATATAATAAATCAGAAAAAAGCCCCTTGAGTAGACTAGAGCCCCCTTTTTGATTTGGAAAATATGGCTGCTTCTTTAAGTGAACAACAGGTAAGAAGTACCTACCCTGGGGTATCTGTTACTTCTGGAAGAGTCTGTGCCCCAAGCTGTAACTAGCAGTCCCCGAGGTGCCCAGCCTTCAGGTCCCCTGGGAGGAATACCAGGTTCTCTCAGTCACCAGTGTTCCCTCTTACCAGTTGTTCTCTGACAGGAGAAGGAAGGAGCCCTGGTCAACTCCAGAAGGGACACCTCCCTTCAGGTCACCTTCTAGATTGGTCAGAGGACCTCATTGAAAACAATATCATCAGTCTTTGCTCTCTTGATCCATTTCCGGGGTGAAAGAAAGAACAGGGAAAAAGAGAAGTGAAGGGCCCTGGGCACTGGGGTGGGTGAAGGTGGGATGAGGCAGAGAAGGTGGCTGCTGCCCAGGCGCTTTCCCCTGCAAGGCCCAGGTCATGGAGCACGGGGAGACGATGTTCTCTTCCGTGTTGGCTTCTGTCCTTATCTGTCTCTGCTACTTCTGCTATTTCTTCTGCATTCTGGTGGCTTCCTAGAGGGAACTATAGATGACCCCAGGGGTGGGGAAGGCAAGGGCTCTCCAGAATTGGGGGAGATACCTTTATTCCTTAGGTTGGGATGCTAACCCAGTGTGCCCTAGGAGCAGACACTCAGAATTAGTTCTCAACTCCATATGTGAGGAGGGTGAGGAAAAGAAATTGGCAATAAGTTATCCACTTCTATCTGTTTTAGAAAGGACCCTATTGGGGACACTGAAAAGGCCCCTGCAGCACCCCTCCCCACAGAACCCCTTCCCCCCTCTACTGACAGAAGCCTTAGTGGAAAATACCTGGGTTTTAGAGGACAGGATCTGGCTTGAGTGCCAGCCCTGCTGCCTACCAGCTGAGGGGCTTACCTTCTCTGAGATTTGCTTTTCTTATCTGCAGAGTGAGACGTGAAATGAGATAATGTGTAAAAAGTGCCTCTAAATAGCAAAGTGTTATACAAGCGACAGCTAATGCTACCGTACGAAAGCAGCAGTCTCGGGCCCCACATGGGAACACAGACCTTTGGTCCTACAGCATAAAAACCTTGGACATTCTTCAGAGTCTCCCATCTTCCCAGGGCCCCAGAAGAAGCAGGAGGTGAGCGGAGCCTTCTGCAGCCTGATGGGATTCTCCCTGTCTCCTAGGGAAGACTTGCCCGAACATCTTTCCCCTGTTCCTGTCTGTGCTCTTCCTCCTCCTTGGCCTCGCCCGCCTTGTCTGCTGGGATATTCCAGCATCACAGCCCAGAACAAACATTACCTGCTCTCTGTGACTTTCTCTGACTCTCTGAGAAAATCCATTTCTTCCTCATCCATATTCCGGTAGCACTTTGTGGAAGCTCTGTTGCTGTCTAATCGAGTCTAGTTACAGCTGTTTCTGACATTTGCCTTTCTCATTAGACTGTGAACTCGTCCAAGTCAAGGACCTTGTTTTTTCATTCAGGGCCAAAGATGTAGGTGTGCATAAGTGTCTATTTTCATGGCTGAACCACTAGAGGAGGCTTGATTCTCCTCCTGTGGTGCAGAAGGAGGAAAGGTTGATGGGGAGGGAGTGGGAAGGAGGTGTGTATTAACCTTTCTCTCCAGCTTTTCAAATACCTGGAGGTAAGGTGAAAAGGAGGTGGCATGGGCAGGACCGGGGTCATTCTTAAGGCTCAGTAACTTGCTCAGTAACCTATATCCATAGGAGGGAGAAATTCTCCATGAGATAAAGAATGGACTGGAACTAAAAGAGATGGGGTCAAGTCTTGCTTCTGTCCATTTACTGACAGTGGTATCTTGGGCATGTCAACATTATGAGCTTTAATTTCCTGCTCTGGGGTAAAAATAAAAGGACAGAGCGGTGCTGTTCAGCAAATCCTGTCTTCTTTCCTCCTGAGCACACAGGCTTGCTTGGAATTAGGTGGATTGGGTGACTGAGTTCTGGCCAATGAGTGTGGGTGGAATTGATGCTCCCCACTTGCAGGCCTGGCCCATAGAAACCTCCTGTAGCATCCTCCATAATCCATCTTTCCCTGTCTGTGCATTGAAAGTGAAGGAATCAGAGGTTCTAGGGGATGGCAATGCCACAAGATGAAAGGAGCCTGAGGCCCCAATGTCTATGCAGGATAGAGTTTTCCCTCTTTATGCCCATCTGCATTGAACTGTGATGAGAACAAGAAATTCTTTCATTACGTTCAGCCACTGAAGTTTTGCGGTCATTCGTTATAACAGTTAGCCTTCTTTGACAGGGTTTAAATGGACAAAAGTTCTTCAGAAACTTCAAAGTGCTATACTAGTGTTACTGGTTATTATCATGGCTTTTATTCTAGAAAACCTTTTGAGTGCACAGCTGCTGATTTTTTTCCGTGTTCTATATAGTCTTTGCATCTTCTCAAGGATGGAGAGGGGACTAGGGGAGCCCCTTGGAAAATATCCAATGGTCTGACTGCATGCAGGTGTGCATGCCTGGATGCCGGGGGTAAGACTCCTTCCAGAAAGAGGAGAGGATTAACTCTCATGCTTGGAGGTGTGGGCCTGTCTCAGAATAGACTCTGGGCAGCAGTACCTAGCACGGGGGGCTGTCATGTGGGCCTGGGGACAGCTGTCTGAGCGTCAGCTCCTTGAAGGCTGAGTGCTCCAGGTCTGAAAAAGGGAGGTGAAATTGGACCAATTGTCAACAAGCTCTGGGAGATCTTGTTGACCACTTGAGCCACTCAGAACTCTGTACCCTTCACATGTGGCTGCTCCCAATCAGGAGCCAGATGCTGTATCTATAGTAACTCTGAATGTTTACAACTCTGGGATAGGTTTTTTTTTTTTTGAGGAAGATTAGCCCTGAGCTAACTGCTCCCAATCCTCCTCTTTTTGCTGAGGAAGACTGGCCTTGAGGTAAAATCTGTGCCCATCTTCCTGAACTTTATGTGTGGGACGCCTACCACAGCATGGCTTGCCAAGCGGTGCCATGTCTGCACCTGGGATCTGAACCGGGGAACCCTGGGCCGCTGAAGTGGAAAGCGTGCACTTAACCACTGCACCACCAGGCTGGCCCCTGGGATAGGTATTATTACTCCCACTCTTACAGATGAAGAAACTGAGGCTCAGAGAGGTAGAGTAACTTGCCCAGGATCATACAGCTAATAACTACTAGAGCCAGGATTCAAACCCAAGTATCTTTGACTTAAAGCCTGTGTCCTGGATACTGTACCTTGCAGCCTTCCCAACAGGGGAGAGGTACGGTCCCTCCGCCCAGGTCAGGACTGAGAAAAGTGACCCCCTGGCTCCATCCTGGGATTCCTCATGGTGTTGGCTCCTCTCACCAGCATGTCTGTCTCCTGAGTTTGGAAGAAACTCCCTTCTGTGAGCATGTGAAGCCTCAGGTTGAGAGGTGGAGGCCACCAGGAATAAGAAATAGGGAGGTGGGTGTGTTGGGGAGAAGGAAGGGGAAGGGGTGAGGGGAGAGGAAGAAAAGGACGGGGAAGAAGGAGCTGAGCAAGTCAAGCGTGAAAAGGAAGGGAAAAGCAAGAGGAAGGAGGAGGAAGTTGCCTCCCTGGAGGTTTCCATCTTGAGCTGGGCGCCCTCACTGTGGGGAGGGAGGTTGCTGGACTGCCCTTAGGGTGTCTGGGTGTCTTCCAGCGCCTGAGAGTCTATGGGGATTTGATGCCTCTCTGGTACCTAGCTAGTCCTCAGTTTAAGCCTAGCCCAGAAATTGAGAACAGTTCCAATTACTTTCAATTCAGCAGTTGATGGTTCAAAATCTAGTGCCACTCTGACAGTCCTCCTGGAGTTCGCACAAGCACGATCCTGCTTCTTGGATGTGTGCAGGATGTGTCTGGGAGAAGTCATCCCTTCCAGTCTGCATGTGCCTGGCCTGGCTGGGATGGATACTACCACATGGTTTTCTGGCAGCTCTGCTGGGGCCATCTAAGCCAGCTCCCCTGGGGCCATCTAGCCAGCTCCCCTGAGAGACGCCTGGCATAATAATGCTATATTTGTCTCTTTCCAACTGTCATTCCATTAATGTTTGTATCTGGCCCAAAAAGCTTTCAACAA